ATCAGAAAAAGTAGTCAGGACTTCTTTTTCTCTGAATTCATTTCATCGATTTAATCACAAAAGTAGTCAGGACTTTTTTATTTTCAAACAAAATTTATTCATTTGGAAAGATGATTTTCCTACGTGTTTAAATGTTAGTTGAGGACAAATATATTTAAAAATAGACCTTTTGAGTTATATGAAAGATGAAAAACATAAGGAACGATCGATCGAAGAAAATTTAATTTGAAAAAATAATACAATCTATATTTAGTTAGAGATGAAATTTTTTTATGCTTTCAAATATGAATACTTCACATGTTTTTCATAAGCTATACAATAAAGCAATGAACTGCCACATCATTCATATAAAATAAAGTCAATCTTTCATATCTAAACGAATAATCATCAGATGAGTTGTTTGATAAAACAAGAAAATCGAACACTTCTTCAAAATCAAACACATTACAATTAGGCTTTTCGAATGTCTATAACACAAAGTATAACAACATTTCGAAAATCTCTCTTTTTCTTATTCTCCCATTTTTGATTTATTATAATTTCTAATTCAATAGATAATTATATTTTCTTCATCAATGTGAAAATGATCCCAACAATTGAGATTTATATCAATGTAGAATAATGTTGACATCCTATTTATTAGATAAATTAGTACGAACAGTCTTTTTGGTATTCCAAAGTAGTTTAAATAGTTGTTTATCATAACAACACATTCTAAGATACTTGTTTCTCAATGAGAAATATTCATTCAGTAAATGATTCCTTTATTTTTTTTGATTTGTATGTTGCTATGATGTTTTATGTATGCAGGAAAAGAAACCGTAGAAACAGAAATCTAGTGAAATCATCTAGATCTGATATAATGACAATAATAGAAACTACGTTGTTTCATAAAAAGAGATTTGCGTATGAATAAAACAATAATGACAACAAAAAGCTAACTTTTTCTCAATAGAAAACAGAATCTCCATGATTATACTGGAAAAACTAAGTTAATGACATGTCTTTGCTTTCTTCTAATATTTTGTCGAAGAAAAATAGGAGAAATATTCTTTCGAAGTTTGAATATAACATACATAACTCTAAGATACAGGATTATTTCTAATAAATAAACATTTCTTTTTTTCTTCTTCAGATTCTTATGGCAACGGATTGTCTACAAAAGAATATGTTATACACAAATATATTCATATTTGAAAATGCTTGTTTTATCTGCTTCGTTCAAGCTAGTATCAATCTGAGAGTATTGATTATATCTATATTTTTATTGTGATAGAGAAAAGGAGATTATTAATGATTGCGTAAATATTACAATTCTAATATTTACTGAACGATATTAGATATCAAGTAGTTATGAACTGTCATTTTAGAATAGATGTAATAGTGATACCATAAATCATAATTAGAAGTTAGAAAAAACAAGATTTGATGATCAAAACGTACAAGTGATTGATCGCAGATCGTTTAGAAAACAAATATTTTGCATTATCATATTATACAACTATTTGTTTAATACACATAGATATACATCAACTCGTGTATACAGCTCATCAAATCAAATATTGTTACGCAGAAAAATCTGTGATTAATAAGTGAAACATACATTAAATGAGAAAGACATTGTGTTATTTCCTAAGAGTTTTATAATAAAATAAATATGATATATTCCCTCTCACGGAAGTAAGTGAAACGCCGAGTTTCTGACAGTCAGTTATCTAAAAAAACAGGATGTATAATGACAGTTCAAAACTATACATCATGTAAGTGACTTTCAATTGCATCAGTTTATTAAATAACAAGCGAATAAGTCTTACGAGATTCTGTATTGTTGTATATCACTTTTGTATGACTCACTTTGCTCAATTAGAAAATCAGAATATATCAAAATATGCAACGTGAAAAGGTCTACTATTCACAGAGAACAAAGGATAAAAAGAAGAAATAAGAAAAATGAATTAAAAGAGGGGTAAAAAGAGTGATTTGTTATTCTCAACTATTCAAAATATAACCTTGTTTTCTTAAAGTCGCTCAAGATAAAAATTATTGAAAAAAAAAATAAGTTTTTTAGTTAAATATATTTTGACTAGATTCAATTAAGTTTAAAACTTGACTTCATCAGAAAATTTACAAAAAAAACGTATAGAAAAAGAATTATAACAACAATAATTTTTTAGAAAAGGTATAATACAGGATATGGTACACAATAATTAACATGAAAATCAATACAGGATATTGTATCATTAATCACCGGTGTTTCACCATCGTCAGTTACGATTGTACCATACTCTTATAGAATTAAGTTGAATTATTAATTCTAATACGAGACTGTTCAGGTTTCTTTCTTACAAGATAATCCTGAAGATTACTCAATTTTTTAGAACCAACAATCGGTTTCATATTACAAATGACAGTATCTGAAAAACAAGTATTCCAAAGTTCATGAAATCTGGTTGAGAAATCATGCATTCCTTTTGTAAAAGAGAAATGACATAAAATGTTAACTTCGAAATCGATATCAGCCTTCTTTGTATTATTATTATTATTATTTTTATCTGCAGCATCTAAAAAGAATTTTCGTATTCGAGAGTAATTCTTTTTTGTAGGTACTGCACATTGAAATGTTTGTAAGACTCTTTCAAATTATTTAAAAAAAAAATATAATGGATATTTATTCAATAATAATGACATACATATATGTACTTCTTCACGTTTATACGCGTCGAAATTTGAAGAATATCTTATTGCTCGAGTGAGAGCTACATATGGAATATTCTTCTTTATATGTTGTGCATGTGTGCTTGTGAAAGGAAGAGAATATGGTTCATATGAAGGTTTGTGAAACACTTCAGTTATCAATACTCCTTCTCTATTCCCAAGTTTAACATCAAGATGCTCTGCAGTTGATCGTATAGATTCAGAAAGTTCAATATTACCATCAAGCTTATTTCAGAATTTCCCAAGACCTTTTAATATACCTGCATGCATATTTGACATAATGAATAGATCATCAATATATCTATAATATAATGAACATGTTCTATGAGCCCATTTAGATATTGGACGTTCAGCAAAGTACATGTATGTATTTGCTGTTGTCAGAGTAAGTGGCGATCCCATCGCTCCTCTTCTTATTTGTTTATAATAAAACCCATCAAGATAGAAATAATTATTGGTCATTACAAATCTGGTAAGAGCTAGGATAATATCTTTTGTAACAACATTGATTTGTTTTAAATTTGATGTTTCCATCAAACGTTTAATGGCTGTTACTCCTTCTTCCTGCGGGATCATTGTATATAGATCTGTAACATCCATTGTTATGAATAATGTGGCTGATGTAAGATTAGTAACCGACCATCTTTCTACTTGTTTTATTAATTGAACACCATTTATAATAGTTATATCAAGTGCTAAACGATCAAACAGAGTTCTTAATAAACTATCTAACCATCTAGAGATCTTGATGGCAGGAGATTTAAGACCAGCCATTATTGGTCGCAATGGTGTATTCGGTTTATGTGCTTTAGGTAAGAAATAAAGATGAGCTAATTCAGTTTCATCTTTATTTACTCAATTTTATAAATAAAGCAGGCCAACAAGAATAATTTTTAATTTTATAATTTTATTTTTTAACAAAAGTGAAAAAAAGAAACGAAAAAATACAAAAAAATAGAAAAATAAATTATGAACAGAACACAAGGAAAAATAAATAAGTAAATAATTACACAAAAGTAATTGAGGAGAGGGAACAAAAATTTTTTTTGGGAGATAGCTATTTAATAATGCGAGACCTTTCGAATTTTTATCTTTTCAAGCGATTTTTATGTGTTCTAATATATGGTTGAGATTTTATTTAATTTAATGCATTTTAATGCAATTTAATGTATTTTAATGCAGTTTAATGTATTTCATATTGCATTTCAATGTAGTTTAATGCAGTTCAGTGCGGTTCACTATATTTTAACGTAGTTTGATTCATTTTAATGCCATTTAATATATTTCGGTGTAGTTTAATACGGTTTAGTATATTTCATAATGCATTTTAATGTGTTTTTGATATATTTTAATGTATTTTAATGCGGTTTAATGTGATGAAAGTGTTTTTGAAGAAGGGAAAAGAAGATAGAGTTTCATTTATAGGTATAAAATATATATATATGAGAAAAATAAATAAGAAGAAGTTTTTACAAAAGTTTAATGTTTTTTACAAAGTTTTCTTGGGACTGTAGTTTCATAGAAAAAAATCACATTCTAGTCTTTTTCCAAAAAACAAAAAACTATATAGAATTTATAATAGGTGAAAAAAAGAGAGAGAGAAAAAGAATTATAGTAGGACATATAGATCTATTACAATATATTATACAACTCATAGTATGAGAATTTTTATTAGAAAATATTATAATGCTTTTAGAAGGATAAAGCGAGACTTTTACATAAATGTTTTGGGGAAGGGGAAAGAAATTTTTTTAGATAAATGTTTTGAAGATGGGGGAAAGAAAAGAAAGAGAAATGAAATTATAAGTGTGTAGGTGTTTTTGTTAGTTTTTGTTAGTATTAGTTTTTCATTTATTTATCCTTTATTTTTTATTATTTTCTTTTCTTTTGCGTCTGTCACCGTATCTTTATTTTTTAATAAAATATTCGTTTTTTATTATTATTTGCTATATTTTTTCTTTTTGATTTTTAATTCTCATTCTGATGCTGTTGGTAATAGCTTTATTGCTTCTTTGTTCGGTTTCCTTCTTCACTAGTATATGTTTTAGACTATCTGTAGGTCGATTCACATACGTTACTGGTATATCGTCTAACGGTGTACCTTCAAATATCTGATAAAAATGTGATCCGAAGCTCATTATGGATGGTGTATATGAGAAATGTACGAGGATGTCTTTTCCAAAATCTATTTCTCGTTTCTCTTTTTTGTTCTATACTAAATCTAATATTAGTTCTGTAAATTTCGAATGTTCGTTACTTAGGAGTTTTTCTGATGTTTTTTCATGTGTTAAATCTTTATAAAAACGACGATTTTGAGGCTGTGTGTACGTGGTTACGTATCTAGATAAAGACAACACTCACACCCTCTAACTTTAGCTATTTATGCTATTCTATCTATCTTCAATTCATCGGATCGATACACTACGGATATACGTAAAATAAGTTGCTAGTAAATGGTTGGACTCTTCCGTTTTTCTTTCGTTGGGGATTGCTGGTACAAATATGTCGAAGTCGAAAGTTACTTCTACCATTATGTAACCGTCTGATAATTTCAGTACCGCAATGCATACACATAATGTTTTTCTTTTCCGTGTCAAGATTTTGGAGTACTAAGTTTTGATGTTTTCCCTTCCAGCTGTCTGTCTTTAACAAAATTTCTTCTAGTGGAAGATCGTCTTTAGGTCTTGGTATAATAATAGCACAAGCCTCACAACTATCTTTTCTAGGACACCAGAGTGATTGTGCATCAAACCTAGCATTTACAGAAACAGTTTCGTTTTTGTTTCTGTTTAGCGTCAAGCTCGAAAGTGGGCACCCATGCGTTCCTGATAAGTCTGCTCTTGTCTTTTGAAAAGATATTTCTTGTTCACAGTGAGCACAAATAATCATGTGTGTTTCACAATTGTAGTTTTGAAGGGCAATGGCTTGTTGATTTACGGGATCAAGTAACTGCGCATCTACAGTTGTGTGCCCACATACATTTCGGTTTATGGAATTTGCCTCTTTACTGACACTAGCAACGCGAATGTTAAACAGAGCTGCTACAATCGCTTCGATATTTTGACTACCATCTGAAGAGACTACTACGAGACTGTGAGGTACTCCTCGTTTTACTAAAATGTGCATTGCAAAACTCAAAGTACGTTGCCTCTGTTGTTCCTTTCGATAATACGATGTCCAGCGGCAGGTTGGTGGTTTCTAATCTGTTTACCCAACATGTAGCCAACGGAAAATCTCAACTTTCTTTCTAAGTGGTAGTTACGAAATTGCGCTACGATAAAAGGACGATAATCCCTCGTATGTGGATGATCATGGATATCCTCTTCAATTTCTTGGGAATAACGTTCTAGATATTTTATTGGAATATCAAAGCTCCAAACGTATGTTGCTGCTGAAGCAGTTGGTTTACTCCACTTACCCCATTCAGGAGGAAGAATAATAGAGTCATTTCTACGCACTAACTCCCTGATATCAAAAAAATGTGGATTTACTTTTTCGTTACTCTCAGCGGACATCTGAACGCAGTTTAACATGAGAAAAGAATTAAATGTATCATACCTGTTATTGTGTTGTTCACATAATTATTCTAACTCTATAAATGAGTCTACACATGTCTAAATATATATCTAGAATGAAAAACAAAGGAAAAAGAAATACTATCATATATATCTCCGATCGATGTGTAAGAAAGGAGAAGATATCACATATGAATACGATCGAGGTACACACTGTTAGAAAGAACGAAAATAAAAAAGATGTCCTTCAATGGCTTCGAACCACATATCTTCTGCTATCCCAGCAGTCGTCATAGTCCATTAGAACAGAAGAGATATCTAATCTTAGTTTAAGCATAGTAATATATCATCAGTTACGTTTTTGTCTAAATTAAACATTTTCTGAGCACTAACAAAAAATAAAAATAAAAAAAGTTTTATGAAAAAATAACTCAAGTAATTTCACTTTACACTATTCTATTAAAAGACTAGCAATAAAAATCAAACAACATAACCAATAAATCTGATTCTTTACTTAAAATTCTGTAAAAAGAAAATCTCCTTTTCTACATCAGCATGTGTTGATGCAAATAATATAATTACATAAAACATGAGAGAATCATTGTCGAATAAAGATTTAAAAGCACCTACCGTTGTTGCAACTCGAGCATATGATCTATTACTTGATTACGTTACCGAAGCAATAGATTACTTCTTCAGAATCTTCTTTTATTTGTTTTCACAGGGGTCTCTAGTTTATTATAATATTCTAGATAGCATGTTATATAATAGATCTGCATTAGCTCGTGTATACAGCTCAAAGAATCAAATATTGTTATGCAGAAAAATTTTCTGATAAGTGAAATATACATTAAATGAGAAAGGCATTATTTTCTCAAGGATCTGATAATAAAATAAATATTAGTTAGATAAAAGAATTTTTAAGTAGAAAAAGATATCAATGATCTATACGATTAAAGACTCTCTAGATGCATAACATGTGTTGGTTACATTCTTTCTTAATCAAAAACAAAAAAAGGTCCAGAATTCTTTTATCTCATATAAAAGGTATATAGTCAACAATTACCAGCGGTGTCACTTTTTCTTTTTCTACAGAAGATAAGTAAAACATTTATTCAACTATTAGTAACACTAATCGTTCGAAATGCAAATTATTACATAAAAATATTTATCTTAGAATAATTTACTTGAAGCTAAATGAATAATCAATTCGTTTTTCGTCGTGCTGATATTTCTGATATCGATAAATTATCTATACTTTGTCAAAAAACTTATCATGAATCAGTTGTCGAAGATTTATCTGTTTGTTATCCGGAAAAAGATCTCAATTATTATTTACATTCAGCAGCTAGTCCAGAATGGTTTACAAATACGATTTCTGATCCAAAACGAGCTGTTTGCGTAGTAGAAGATCAAACAAATGGTGAATTTGTTGCTTATGCTGTTGCTGGTTCTTCTTGTATTGATGCTATTCCTCATCCTGATATTTGTTCAGATAAAGATGGAGCACTTTATCGATTATATGTTCGACGTGATCGACAATCTTATGGATTTGGTAAACAATTGATGAATGTTGTTTTATCCTGGTTAGAAGAACATTATCATGGTCAACCTGTATGGTTAACTGTATTCTCAGAAAATTTAAAGGCACAAAAATTTTATACACACTATGGTTTCAACAAAGTTGGTGAATGGGATTTTCCTATTGGAGAATGGAAAGATCATGATTTTATTATGAAACGTGAAGCTAACACATCCTAAGTTTGTTTGATTCGAAATAGTTGAGATGCGAATATCTCTTACAATTCACAATTAATTGATATTACCATTGTTTTAATAAAAAAAAAGTTGCTTCCTCTTTGAAGTTATTCAACGTGTTGAATTAATTAAAATATTTGGGTGTGGGTGTGGGTGTGCTACGTTCATCTCTTATTCAAACGTACGGTAACACTCAGACTTTCAAGAGCTTTTTGAAATTCGTGTTCTACCAAAAACTATTCCTGCGGTTGAATGTAGACGGAATCTTGTAATGAATTTATTGGTGAGGATTCTATTAATTATATTGCTCATTTCGACTTCCTAAACATATTCATACTATTTGTTTTTGTGTATTGATATTGATTTTGCTGAAAAACAGAGTTATCTATTGATAGATATGTTTCAATATGTCTGCACTACATCTTGATGATGTGAGTATTATATTTGTCTCATACCCTAGCACATTTCGATTTTCTTACTTATCGTTTACTTTAATTCACTGATTTTTAAACATACTGACCTATTCTACTGACCACCTAAATGATAGTCTTCTTATAACAGTCTTACTTCTTTCAAACAAAGTATTTATAAAGTTTGATATGAAGAAGAATTATTCACTTGTCTATAACAGAATATATATCCTTTGATAATCATTTTACAAGCAATTTTTTATTAGTAAAATCTGTCAAACCGTTAAAGAAATAAAAAAATAAAGTAAAAACTGTAAATTACAATCTTCGTCTTGTTTTCGCAGATGTTTTAACAAGTCCATGTTTACGTGCTAATTGTAATACATCATTAAGTTCAACACATGTACGATAATCATCCAAAGCTTCTTGTTGTTTTTCATCTTGTTTTGATCGTGCATCACCTCGCCATTTAAATACAACTGGATCACATGGTCGAATTTCTAAAGCTCTTGTAAAATGTTGTTCTGCTTCAACTGGTTCATTTATTGTTA